TATATTTTGCATCTCTAAAGGAATTAAAAATTTAAAACAATCATATTTCCAAATGTATATATATTTTTATCTTTATTATAAATTATAAATAGAGAATGTTTTAGAAATAGAAGGTGACAAAATGCTGGTTTTTTGTAAACAATCTGTAAAGTATTTTACAATGAAATAGCTGAAAAATCATATTGTTGACTGCGTAGCAAGTAGTATCTATAATCATATTTAATATGATTATTCCATTTTCTTTTGAACAATTAAAACCGCAGATGGTGTTAGGCCTAAAAGAACAATCATAATAATTATCAGGATACATCTTTATTTTTAAATTAAAAAGTATATCACATATTATAAATTGTTAATATACCTAAAGCATTAAGTGGAGCTTCATAATCTTCTTCCATGAAAATTTTCTTTGGAAAATTTGTCATTAAACTAAACGGACCAGGTGCATCTGTCCTATTAATTTCTATAAACAATCTCACAGCAGACAATTTTTCTTTATTTCCAAAGCTTTGTGTTAATGTTTGTCCATTAGTAAGCCTAATCTAAAATATTATTTTCATTAAATACAATGACATTTAAATATTAAAATTAAAAATATATACATAAATATGTAAGTTATTACTTGTAATTTTGTATCATTATATTCTTTTCGATAAGTACTAGTGGAGGATGATGGTGTAGAAGGAGATGCTGCTAATGCTTTCTGAGCATCAGCTTTGGCACGCCTGGCAGCTTTATCAGTCTCAATTTGTTCTTTAACCCTTTGCCATGCTAATTTTTCTTCCTCTTTTTCACGTTTCCTTTCATTTAACAACTTTTTCATTTTTAGGTCCTCTAACCTATAATTGATATATACACATGACAAATAGATATATCAACATATATACATGTACAAATAAATAAATAAAATACATATATTATAAAGAACCACCTTGTTACAGAGTTATAAATAAATATTGTATGAAATAGATAGCTATGTATTTTTCAATAGAGTACAGCCGATCCATTTATCTAGCACATGTTTATCATTTGGTATCACAATTCTGTGTCTTACTAGTTATAATAAAATATGGTAAATAATTGGTTATAATAAAATATGACATAAGAAAAGAATTACTAAATGTTTTTGAACCTTCATTTCAAAATGTCCTTGTGCTAGAATAAAACTTATTTCATACTACTTATTTCATATATACAATGTTTGTCATAACAGATAAACAAGGTATCCTGTCAAAATTTATACAATTTTTTTCTTATTTTTATGTGTTTATTAAATCGTAATTTGAAGAATATTGAGAATTCTGTGTGTGTGTATACTTTCATGTATATTATAATATATAATATGTGTGTAACTATAATATATGTATATATACCATATGAAAAAAAAATATAACTTACTTTCTTCTAGCTTGAGTCATTTCTTTTCCTGATTTTATTCTATTTTTTTCTCTTGCTTGCGCATCTTTCTTTTCTTGCTCCTCTCGTTTTTTGTTTTTTTGTTTTAATTTTTCTGTTAATATTCGTAATTGCTCCTTCTTCTCCTCCTCTGTAAGAGGTTTTTTCTCTTCCGTGCTTTCAGAGAATCTATCGTGCCCAGATTTTGTTGCATGGAATTCAACTTCTAAATTAGATTTAAACAATTTTCCACAGCTATCGAATATAAAATAAACATAAATATTCTATTGATATATTAACCTGTGTAGAACATTAGTAAATATTTACATATCACATTTCATAGAGTTAGCAACTTCGGTAGTGGACACCTGACTACTAGCATCGGCAGTGTCTTGTTGGTCTGATGTTTCAGGATTAGACATCGGTGCACTTTCAGTAGTCGGTGGTTCAGATGATGGTTCAGCATCATTTGAATGAGCCAAGAGCCTAAAATAAAAATTAAGATCGTCATCGGACGATGAGAATGATGGCACAGCCTTTCTCGTACCATTCCATTGCCGGAACAACTCCTTTGTTTCCCGTAATTTCTAAAGCTTTTTCTCTGCAACAGAATATACACTGAAATAATAAAGGTTATATTACATATTAATTAGAGAATCAATTAACAAACTTACGCTTTATATATGCTGAAACCCATGTCGACTAACATATTTATATCACTCGACGACATTTTCTTTTGTATTTTCGAGACTATTAATAAATATTTTTCCGCGAGGAAAAACGATTCACAATCAAACGGTCAAAAACTTAACGTCACGTTCAACCGACGCGCTATCTATACGGATTTGTATATTGTGAAAGCATTAACTAAGAATAGAATAGATACGTGAATCTCGAAACAAATTCTACATGTAATTTTTAAAAAATGAAATATTATTCAAGCAAGTCCTTCGATTTATTGAATATTAATTAATAAATCTTTATTTATAGATGTATATAGATTATATAGGTTAAATGAAATATAGGAAAGAAGCTGAGAATTAGGAGAAAGCAATTATAAAAGTATGTAAATCAATTCTTTCAATTAATTTTCTTTCATAAATGAAAGTTTAATTACTTTATGGACATCGAAATAAATTTAAATCATCTTAAATAAATTTAAATCAAAGATGGTTAATTACTGGCCCGCGAGCCCTTGCCTCTATTTTCTTGATTGCTAGCCCCTTGCATCGATCTTTTTATACATCGATCTCTCCACTAATCGATTTCTACACTAAAATTTCTTCACCGTGCATGAGGCCCACTCAGTCTGTTGATTTCCTTACAGTGGAGGGGGGTAGCGCTAGCGATCAAAAAAATAGGGGCAAGAGTTCACGAGCCAGTATTTAACCATCTCTGATTTAAACAATCATCAATGACTACATTTAATCATTGACTAAGAATAGGATAGACGGGACATTAATTGGAATACCGACCAGGAAAAGAATCACTGGCAGGTATACCTCGTCTGTGCTTTTATACACATAGTCTATCGCTGTTAGCAGTTATTTATTGTTAGTTATGATTATGATTGACTTACAGATTAAATGAACAAATGTTTGTATTCGTCCGACAAATTTTTTTCGAGAGTTCAAGCAAAGATTCAGATTTAGAGACACAAAATTACATTCAATGTCACATCTATTCTGTATTTAATCAATGACTGAACTACCCACTATTATACTGAATCGATAACGTTGCATGTGACATGAAAATGGTAAGAGTTAGGTGACTCACGAAACGAGAAGTATGATAAAGTATAGAATGTTAGGTCTATTCTATACCTCATCTGTGGTAAAAGTCAACTGATGGAATTACTTCGCCGGAAATTAAATTTTAAAAAATAAAATTATCATGTTTGAATACAGCAGCTTTTTATTTACAGAATTCCGAGAAATGCAAGGAACATTTTTATAGTACTAGAGGTTTAGAATTTTAAAAGAATATTATAAAGTGAAGAGTAATGATGTTTTATTTTCATTCTAAATAGTTTACAATCAACAAAAACATTTAAAATGTTATACTTGTCACAGACCATTAAAAATTTAATACACACTTAGGAAAAAGAAAACAAAATACAAAGTCAGTCATGACAATTGATACTTATTTTAAGCAATAATACAATTATATTAGCCAAATAAAAAAATGTTATTCAGTAATCAGCAGACTGTATTGTCAACTAAAATAATTTTACAATATTGATGAAACAGTGATTGTAATTTGGTAGGTTTCGAAGATTTTGAGTTTTCTTAATGGCTCAAGAAACAAAGATATAGCCCTAAAGTACTGTTAAGTTAGAAAGGTTATTCTAGTGATTATTAATATTCCTGGGATGTTTTATCTCCCTTCCCAGATCCGCCAGTACCAGTTTTCTTCGGCAGAAGTACAGCTTGAATATTAGGCAGGACACCACCTTGAGCAATTGTTACACCTGAGAGCAATTTATTTAATTCTTCGTCATTACGAATAGCTAGTTGTAAGTGACGTGGAATTATCCTGAAATAAAAAGAGTAGTGTGTATATTTAGCAATTTGTACGGATTACACATAATATAATGTAGATTTAACAGTGATAAACAATCTATAACACTAGACTTCAATTATATTTTAAAATCTTAATAAGACAGCAATACAAGGATAAAGTAACAATTCTAAAAATTGATTTTTTATGCTACATAAAATTGAATGTTACATTCAAATTCAATAAAATAAATGTATATCAATTTGTTTAACTAAATGAATTGTACAAAGTACTGTGTACATAGAATAAGTGAAAAAAAGCATATTTTTCATAATTGCGAAAAGAAGGAAGTTAACAGATAGATAAATAGATAGATAAATAGGCAGGGAGGGAACGGAGGAGGGAGAGAGGAAGAAGGGAGGGAAGGCTCGTTACACCAACCTCGTCTTCTTGTTATCTCTTGCAGCGTTCCCGGCTAACTCGAGTACCTCAGCTGCCAAATATTCCATCACAGCAGCCAAGTAAACTGGTGCTCCAGCACCAACTCGTTCCGCGTAATTTCCTTTCCTTAAAAGACGATGGATTCTTCCGACAGGGAACTGCAGCCCTGCCCTACTACTGCGGGTCTTCGCCTTTCCCTTAGCCTTTCCTGAAACAACGCACGCAAACGACTTCCAATAATCCATAATATCACACCCCGGCGAAATAAACATGATACTTACCACCTTTGCCGCGTCCTGACATCTTTCACAGTATTTCAAAATTTTCCTTAAACACAAGCAACGAGCGATGCCTCTCCTCGGACTACCGAACAGCGAATGAACGTCCACCTTGCTCGACGACGGTTATGCGTATGTACGTCAGATATTTTGGCGGCGATAGTTAGGTCGGTGCTAGTTTGCGCGGGAACCTTGTTTCTGCCGCAACCGTGTTCGTGGCGCCGCCGGCTCTCCATTAAAATCCCTAGATATGAAATGGAAGAGATTATTTTAATATCTCTTTCATGTTTGCTCGAGATACAAATTACAAGCGTAATTAAACATGATTGATTTAGAGAGTGTTGTTTCTTTTTTTTTGTTATTAATACGACTTATTTAACGATACTTTTGTTGGCTTCTACTCCTTCAGATTTTTCGTTCTATCGTGACTATTTGACGTTATACGGTGAATTACACAGCCTGTACAAAATACGCGTGTCTCGACATAGAGGGCAGTATTGACGAAAACAACTGAAAATTTGTAATTATTTCAATCTGTACAAAAGATACTACTTAAACTTGATTAACATTTCGAAAATTATTGTAACATTTCGTACTCCGTGTGATGAAGATCCAAGATCCGGACAGTTGCAACTAATTATCGATCGTAAGTTGGAAATTTCTTCGTATCCTATGTGAAAGGGGAAGGAATAAAGAACAAAGATCAAAAAATTCATATTTTCAACAATTTACTCCTAGGCTCTCGTTTTGGCCAGATCAGAGACCAACAAATATTTTGTGGTCTTATTTTGTTATACAATACATAAAAATAATGATATTTACAAATGTAGGATAACGTTAGGCACTCAATGAACAAAACGATGAAATTATAAATGGATTTCATATTATACATACTGGAGGTATTACGATGAATAGTTGAACAATACACTCGGAGAGTGAGATACAAGTACTAGGATTATTAAAATTAGTATAATATAGCATTGATTTAGTTGAACGGAAGAAAAAAAGTTCGTTTTTCTTTTCCTTTTTTTTTTTTTTTTTTGCAACAGAATGAATTTTATTCGCTTTTCAATATTGTTTACGATCCGATTGCTATTCGAACGTGGAATGTTGGAGATTGGGTAACAAGCATATTTTTATCTGGAATGTGCTCGCGCGGATGTCTCGTGTTTTAAATTAAAACAATTTAAATTAAGTCACTTTACCTACGTAAGTACCTCACTGCTGTTGTTACATTAATTTCTCTTGTATTCACTGGCCTTTGCGTTCATTATTGTGAACAATGGACATCGAAAGGAAAGAACCATCACTGTTCCGATTTCGTGGAATCAGACATGATTTTCCTGCATTCTACGAATGTCCGTAGACTAGAGTTGCTTCTATCTCGAAACATTTTTTAAGTTAAAAGTAATTGTTACGGTTCTACAGTTCCGACGTATTTTTTTTTTTTTTTTGCATCCAGATTTATTGTGATCGCAGTCTGTGGTTCATAGTTCGAACGTGTTTGAAAATTTTCGTTAACACAGAGCTCGCATACACTATCCCCATTTACGACGTAAAATGAAAAAGAAAGTCACAGTTCTACATATTGGAGAATAAGTTTTTTTCGATTATCATTGAACCGATTCGATGAACGTCGCGATTAGATGTCCCCTTTCTTTTACACCAGGTAATATCAACGATCGACTCATATACAAATTGTGACATATCATATTGTTTCAAGTTATTATCTGACATAGAGTCCACATTACGCAGAATAAAATAAGTTATACGATTTGTCTATTTTTCATTAAAATATTATGATACAAATTACAATTATTTATAGTTTAGGGTCTAAGAGCCGTTAGTTGAAACTATAAAATCTTTATTAATCTCACTTCAGTGATCAACTAAGAAGTGCGTGTATATTTAGGTGTAATTTTGTTCTATACAATCGTTCTTACACTTGTTTCATATTGTGTACGTGTATGCGTCTGTTGATATGACGATCATCATTTACAGAATATAAAGATATGATTGACGATCGTCGTAACGTACCTTCAATTATTATTGCTGTTGAACTTTTATACT